CCTGGTATAAGATCGATAAGTCGCCCATTTCTTGTACGGTGTAAATAAAAATCATACATTATTGTAAAAACAATCAACAATAATATTATTGTTATTATCATGTTTTGTAGTATAAAAAGAGGCTTGTTTTGATTTGAGTAAATTTGAAGTATTTTAAAGTGTGTTGTAGTTGTAAGTTTGTTTCTGGTTTTTCGAGAACGTTTCGAAGTATGGTAACACTTTGTTCTTTTCAGTCTGCTTGATCTTTGTTTTAAAATTGGTGATTTTAATATAAAGAATTGTCAGTTGCGCATGACTTTTTGACGCACATTAGAAGTTACAAGAAATGTTTATACACTCTAACATCGGTTTTAGAACTAAACGTAAAACCAATATATTATCTGACTGCATTTTATCAAAGAAAAGTTAGATAGATACTGCAAATACTATGCCAGTATATGTATACATATATTTATATATGCCAGTGTATTCTGTTTCTTCTTTTCTCTTTATCAGTTAAACGGCAGAAAGAAACTTTGACCGGAGATAAGATGGTAGTGGACTATTAAATATCAGTAATAGCAAAAAGTTTTCTTAGCTTTACATTTTGCATCAGCTAAAACATCTTTTCTTTATAGTGGTTTTGGGATGTTTTTGTATATTGTCAAAGTTTATCTATTAAATTTGAAGCAATTTGCATATTTATGCAATACGTTTTAATATTACAAATAGGGGAGACCGGGGCTAGGTGTGACACGGGGTTAGTTGTTAAACTGCTATTATCTTGCTTACTAAATCGTGGAACATATTGTTTTTTATTTTGTAAGTTGGTAATAGTGTTTTAATAACGTGTACGAAATAGTTTTTTTTAATAACATGATATATGATATTTTCGAGCACTTTTGTAAAACTGGACATGGCAAGTAGATTTTTTAAATCTCGATTGGTTTGTAATTTTATTGATTGTAAAATGTCTAATTGCACTTTTATTTTAGGTATAAGACAAGTGGTAGTTTTAAATAAGTTTTTTTTTATTTATTTAATCGTCATTGCATTGCAGTTTATAAATATATCTTTTATTTAAAATGAACGTTTGGGGTAAGGTGTCACACGTTGAGTATGCGTGAGAAAGTAATCGCCGTGCGTAGGATGCGTCGCGCTATATAACTTTATCAAAAACTTTGTTAATGGGATAGGGTGTATTATTATTTGAAAAGAACTAAAGATCGTACGTTATAATTCGGTATTGTAAGAAAATTTCAGAAAAGAACATATGTGAAAATACGATTTGTACAAGTGTCGGTTATGCTAAGCCAAAAACGATTTTTATTAGTGATTTTCTAGAAGAACAACTAGGTAATTATATATTACGTACTTCAGATATTAACTATGATCTTACACCCAAGAACATTAGAATTTTTGCTTGTTTGACAACTAATTCTGAATACGGGGCACGTATAACAATATATGAAAATAATATTTTTTTCGTAAAGCTAAAAGATGTGACTATTATGTAATGTACTCAATGTTACATAATATTACATAATATAGTGTGCAGTTTGTTATTTTTAATAATATAATTTGCATGTCACAATGTGCTCTGGTCTTTTACATTGTGTTTTAATATTACAAATACACTGCGTTTTAATATTACCATTACATTGCACGATAAATACTGTAATCTTATATATACATTGCAATATTTTTGAAAACGGACATTTCTACGTTGCCGTAAGCTTGCATTACCATCGCAGAAATATTTTGCAACTATCACGCAATACTACAACTTTTCAATGTAAGGTTTTCGTAATGTTTTTGAAGTGCTGTGGGACATATCTAACGTTCATAAGACAAAATAAAAACCGTATTTGATATATACTTTTGTTACTTAAAATGCTTACTATTATATATTAATGTAATATATTGATAATAGTATTGTAATATTGTATTATACTATTTATTAGTAATGGTATAGTGCAATTTTATTGAGATATTTTTGTAATATTACGTGCTATGTTAAATCTTATATATAATACATAAATATATACTCAAAACCAAATTTTAAACAACTTTGTTAGTTAATTAACTTGATTATGACGTTTTACTCACTTAATTTAACTGACGTTACTCCAAAGACAAATACCCACATAGCATCGGTAGTAGCACAAACGTTTCCGCAACGGGTTTTCCGAAACTAACAACATTTCGTTCAAAAGCTGTAAAACGTGGTAGTAACGTAGCGGAAACGTCGAAATGTCCGCTTTTTAAGTTGCAATCCGACTTTATAAATTTTTTATATAATATTTTTATATATTTCATTTATACATACATCTTTAAGATAAAACAGTTTATAACCAAAAAATCAAGTTGTCCCATTTTTGTCTTTAGGTGTCTCAATATTTATTTGATCGGCACAAATTTTACACGAACCGGATGAGCAGGACGAAGTATCAAATCTAGTTTAATTTTTAGATTCTTCAAAAGATCTACAGGCTCTATGTAGAAGTGATGTACTAGAGATGCGATCATAATCTTCAATTCGTACATAGCGAACCGTTGACCTGCCGAACGCGCAATTAATCAGAACAAATTTTTTTTGTCAAACAAACAGACAAATTACGCTATTTACCTATGCAATTCCGTGGTCCCGCACTAAACGGTAAGTAGCAATAAGGATGGCGATTTTGCATTCGGTCAGGCAAAAATCGATCCGGATCGAATACTTCCGGGTTTGGCCAAAAGTTAGCATCTCTATGGACGTCATAGATATTAAGGTGCAAAATTGTGTTAGCTGGAATCGTATACGACTCTATATAAGACAAAAAAAAAATATATATATATATATATATATATGTGCGTGCACAGTACAGTAATATGCAACGTACCGTAATCTATGACTTAAGTAATAACATGTTACAAATCCGTATACTCTATCACTAATACGTACGACATTGTATCTCTT